AATTCTGCATGAGCGTTCAAAAAAAAGTCATGTGACTTTGCGCTATGGGACAGCATAACCTGACTAACCAGCAGATTGATTTTGTTGAAATGTTGTTATTGTCATTCTGAAATGCCCGAGCAAAGTCTGCGGTTCCCAAACAGCTGGCATTCACCTACAAAAGCAATGACCGCATTTATTGTGTTTCGTCTATTTGAAAATATAATAAATCTTCTCCTACTTTTCTTGGTGATATTTAGTGCCATTTTATCAGGAAGTGACGATTTTGTTCTCTCTGACTCGTTGGATGGAAATGGTGCTTTTCTGTAAATTTTTTTATGCGATAATCCAAATTTGTGCACGAGTTAAATTTGCAACTTATGATGGAAACCTGGCTGCTCTTTCATCTTGTTTTTGTCTTTTCTTGCATCTTCATTAGACGGTGGACATCCATAAAGAGAAGGTCGCCCGACGAGAGATCGGCATTGTGACAACGAATAAAAACACATCAAGGACTCATAAGATCATCGCTCCGGCCAACATTGAGCGGCCGGTGAGGTACATCAGGAAGCCAATCGACTACACAGTTCTGGATGATGTGGGCCATGGAGTAAAGGTAAATAATTTGCCGTCTTTTAAATCTATATTCATTGCTCACCAACTCTACAAACAGGATGGCTTGTTTCTCAGTTTTTTAAGTGTGACGCCAGATTGATTCTTATGAGAACAAGCCTGTGAGTGTACAGTCTGCTAGGCCTGGGCGATAAAACGGTATTGATATTTATCGACAGTACACCTTCTTCGATATCAATAGAAAATTTTTTCCATATAGCGCACAATATAGGCACGTACTATGAGTGACGCAGACAGCACACACAAACACGAACACATGCTGAAATGAGTGCTGTGCCTGCCTGTGATGAGGAGAAGAATGAATATTAGTCGAATTTAAAATAAACATTTGCATTTGAATGTTAAGAGTGCGTCAGGAAGCGTCATCAGTGGCGCGCGAGATGCGGTAATGATGTAAGTGACGTTGTTGCATTTTAATGTTTTGTTAGTCTAGCCCACGAGACGCGCCGCTGCTACGTTATTTATTCAAAATATTAGAGAAATGTAGTAGCTCAATGCGGAGAAGATCTTGATTAGGTTAAAACCGAAACCAAGCCATTCATTCATATTCAACGCATATTCAGCGCATTTTGTAGACGGATAAATATAACTGCTGCACTCGCGTCTCACAAGAGATGTATAGAAAGCAATGCAAAGTTAAAACAGTTTAAACTTTTAGAAAACACGTCACGAATTTGTGGAGGTTTATTCCTTTTCACTACATCTCATATGTTTTTAAATGCAGTCTGTGTGAATGGCGCTTCGGCTCTTTGGATTAAGCAATGCATAAATACATGATGCTGTTTTGTTCATAATTGTTTATGCAATTTACGAAATTATATTTGATTTTTATGAGTTAATTTAGACGTAATGCACGTTTTTATAGAGTTACTTCCTTGGGTTGAAAATTTAAATGCGCTGCATTATTTTGCTCATTGCGCCCTTCTGTGGCCTCGGGAGACAATTAGTCCTATACAATAAAGACCTATTTAATCTACATATAAAACTTTAGAAATTAGATATTTGTTTAATTTTTATTGTTTGCACTTGTTAAAACAAAAAAATTTGTTGTTTGTCTCAATAAATTGTGTTAATTATAAATACAGTGGTTAAATAAAAAAAAATAATTATATTGCTTTTTGTTTTAAAAAAAGGTAAATAAAAATGTCAATAATTATCGATACCGAACGATATGAAACATTATATCGTTGATACATTTTTTAGCTATATCGCCCAGCCCTAGTTCAATATGTCTGACAGTGCTGCACCTGGAGTTGATTGCTGCAACAATGAAACATTGAAAATAAGTTTTCCACAACTGCCAGCAGACAGTAACATTGTCTCTGTGATACGTTTTGTCTTTAAAATAGAGTAAGAAGGTTAAGGGCAAAATTAGCTGATTGGCACAAATTACGCCCCTTTCTGCTCTAGTTTATAGAGGGAGGCAGTTTTAAACCATCAATCCAGCAATGCAGTTCACATTCCAGCCCTAACAGCGTATTGACAGCATGCATCTGTGTTATCTGAAGTGTTGAAATGTAAAAACATCTGACCTAGTGACAGCATCACCCTCTATTTGTAGCTAATCAGGCAGGATTGTGAGTGTGATGGGTGTTCACGAAGGATTAGGGCTGAAATGACTCCTGTGACCCAACAGTCAATCGATTATGAGAGTTTATAAGATGAGCCTCACGTATAATCAATATTAGTGGATGCGCTGTTTACATTTACTGGGGTTAAAGCTAACTGCTGTTTGTTTGTGTAGCTTCAAAAATAGTTGGGTTATTGCCACTGACAGTGAATCCCTAATAATGTAGACTTTTCAGTGATACAAACATGTCATTACTGCCTCTTGTGCTCACCAAAGCTGCATTTATTTAATCAAAAATACAATAAAACAGTAATATTGTGAGATGTTATTACAATTTTAAATAACTGTTTTGTATTTGAATATATTTTAAAATGCTGTTTATTCCTGTGATGGCAAAACTGATTTTTTTAGTAGCCATTATTTTAGTCTTCAGTGTCTAATATGCTAATTTGCTGCTTAACATTTCTTATTAGTATCATAGTTGTTTTTTTTTTTGTTAGTTTTATTTTATTCTTTAAGGAAGATCATGATACATTAAGAATATAAAGTTCTTAAGAATATAATATAAAGTGTGTGTATGTATATGTATATATATATATATATGTGTGTGTGTGTGTGTGTGTG